TTATCGCCATCCTCATATATTGACTCTTCATTGCTTTAGGAGAAAACAAAAATGCTTCCTCCTTGATGTTCCCCAGTTTCTCTCTCTATTCTCATCTTTTCCCCTGCCCTTGATTCTGAGACTTAACCTGTGCATCTACTTATAGGACTCCCACCCCATGCTCTCAGGATTCCTGGAAAATATACATGGTATGTGGCCTCGCTGGAGTGTCCTTCTTCATTTTAAAGGATTGGCTATCATCTCCCCATTAAAGCCAACCTGCCTATGCTGGATGGACTTTTTTCCAGCTTTATAACCTTGAGAAAATTCTCCAGAAGATATAATGGTTCTGGGCTTGGTAGCTCCCTCATGCTGCTGAGTGAGGACTAAGTTCATCCAGGTAAAATTCAAGTGCTGCTAGAATCATACTAAACATTCAATAAAATCCTCAAGAAGACTGAATGAAATCTGGATTCTGCAGTCATTTCTGTGTCCTTCCTGTAATTTTAATATCCCTTAGTTTACTTTGCTGCTGCAGTAACCCCTGGGCTCACCTCCAACAATGAATTCTGAAATACAATTGGTCATTTACCAGTTTCTCTCCTATCAGACTTGAGGCTCCTTAAGTCACAGACTGAAATACATCTTCCTTTCTTTCTCTGTTTTTCTTTTTTTCCCTTCCCATTGGTCTGACCAATATCTGGCACACTATAGTCACTTAGCAAATATTTGTTAAATGAAAATGGATAAACATCCTTATCCCCCCAGAAGAGAATCTGAAACAGAACAGTTGTTGCAGAACTATTTTTTGAATGAATGGATAAATTCATGAATCACATTTTGGTATAGCAGGAATGTGCTCCACGCTGATTAGGACAGTGAGAAATTTGGTCTGTGTCATTTTATGATGGGGCCTAAACACAGTTTTCTTTTTAATTTTTGCTTTTTCTTCTTCCTTTTTTTGTGTGCATATTTCATTGGGAATTAAATTCTCAGTCACACAATATGATGTTCGCCTGTGTGTGTTCAGTGTATGTGATGATGTTTTAATCACCAGTGAACATAGATGACTAGTGACTCTTTTGACAGTCACAGTACTCCCCCAAAGAATTCCAAACCTTGTTTCCATGCCATTATCAATGTAAACTATTCAATTCCAGCAATAACTGTGAATTGCCAAAAGCATGAAGCAATCAGCTAAGCTTTGACACTGTGATAACACTAAGGATCATATTTCTTCAGTGGGTAATGTTTCTAAGAATAAATGCGACCAAGTGTTTGCAGACTAAAGTTTGACAAAAATAAATGTGTTACCCGGAAGCCGCACAAAATGGATACATTCAGTTAAAAATGACTATTTGCCTAAGACATCACTGTTGCCTGTTTGGAACATGCACAGTTAAGTTTGATAAATTATTTCAGAAAATGTGTTCATCAGGTGTACTTAGCTTAAGTTGCATTTCATGGCATCAGATATTTTAATAGAAAATATCATGTGGAACTACAAAAAGTTACTCTCTATGTGCAATATATATTTATTATATTCCTAGACCAAAATGTTTGGGGAAAGGTACATTTCAAGCCCAAGCACTTTAGAAGGCATGAAAATGAAATTTTAAAAAACTATATTTTGAGTATTTACTATGAACAGGTACAGATGTTATTTCTTAATTTTTATTAATGTCTTAAAATTATTTGTAAAATAGGTATTTTTGTTAATTAAGTACTTTATTTGTTCAGGTGTTTTATTTTTTCTTTTTTGGACAAATAATAACTATATGTATTTGTTAAGTAAAATCTGATGTTTTTATACATGTTTCCATTGTGTAATGACCAAATCATGCTTATTAACATATGCATCATATCATAAACGTCATTTCTTTGTGATCAGATAATTAAAATTCATTAATTTTTAGCAATTTTGAGCTATACAATTGATAAGTAAAGGTGATATATATATGGTCTATCACAACCTCATCAAGTAAATATGAGGATCACATTTTAGAAATAAGAAAACTGAGGGCAAAAGAAGCTTCTTGGATGACTGTCAATAGCTAAACCCTTTAGGGCATTGTATTCACACATTGTCTGCAAAAAAAGTTTTGCTTCTAGGAAGAATTTAATTAATGAGTGTTAATCGAATCTTGTCCCTTGGAGGAGAAAGAAAGCATTAAGGTTTAATGAGTCAACTGTGTCCTCAACACTTGGCCATTTGTTTTTATATTGAACATCTCATTTAGTTATCATGATGAAATAAACATAATTATCTTGACTTTATAAAGACTGAGATAGCTTTATAAAGTTTAAATTAATTGTCATTAATAACTAAAATTATTCTCTTGTGTTGTATGAATTATATGCAGGGGTCTCTCTGCAAATGATTGGGTTAAATTGAAACAAGAAGTCTTTTAGTTTCAATTAAAATTTTTGGCTTTTGGTCTTTTGGACTATGACACAACTTCTGATATTTTTAGAAAATATTTTAAATGTACATTTTAGAAATTTTGGTGTGTTTGGGATGATGTGTTGATTTTGGACTATTTGCATACAAACAAACTTAAAAGTAAATTATTTACATATAATCATCCTTGGATAAATTTCAAATATATAAATAAATAGCATTTGGGGCATACAAGAGAGACTTGATAAAATCAAATTTCTCTTTAGTAACTGATATTTAAACTGCTATGTATGCTATTAGCCATTTTAAACTTTAAATTCACAGTAAGAGAAGACTATGGCTACAGTGAAAATAAGGATCCTCAGATAATTGACATCTTGATATAAACCTTATTGAGAGCAAACTTCCCAGTTTTGTGTCTCTTCTAAGTCCTAAAGTAAGTATTTAGTTAGAATACTTAACTGAAATTAAAGGGAACAAAAGATTAACAAGAAACAAATAAAACCTATGGCTCCGAGAGCACAGAAATCATTGGAAAATCAGGCAATACTCTTACATGAGAGTCTAGCCCCTGAAGCTAAAGAATGATTTGCTTTACGATTGCATATTAAAAGGAAAAGCTACAGCAGGAGGTCTAGAATAGTAGAGAGTTTCAGTCTGTTATTATTATTACTCTTTTTTGCATGTGCTAAATCATAGAGTACACACAGTTACTTTTCTCACATCCTGATTGGATCACGTTGCCATCATAATTGTTCAATAAATGAGCCAAACTAGTGCTTGGTTGCTTGACATTACACCCAAATTCCAAACCTAGGCAGAAATTTTGATTTTAACATCACACTCCCTGCCTCTAAAAGCTTAAAGACATATTTATTAGACAATACTCAAAAAAAGAAGTTAGATTATGATAAGTAGGCAGACATATGAGCTCTGTGAGAATCACCAGAGCTTGACATCTCTAAAATTGTGAAAAAAAAAAAATAACACTACCCAACTCCATGTGCTTTAAGTCTCAGGATGATAAGAAAAATGTGTTTTCAATTTTTCCCCAAATGTATTCATCTCAATATGAGAGTAGATATGTCTCATATTAATGCTTAATTTCTAAATACTCATGAGCTCTATTAAAATTCTCTGGCAGAGTCCTACCATGCTTTCCTTCCAGTGGGCTTCAACTCAGGGTTTTGGCAGGCTCTGACTGATTAGCAGGTTTTTCCCTTCCCAATCACATTACTGAGCACACCCAAATGGAGCTCTGGGGACTCACTGTTTAAAAAAAAAAATGTTACTTTACAAAGTATATTAAAGGCTTGTTTAGACTATCTAAAGGAGATATAACTCAAGGTAATGGAGTGTAACAGAGAAATGTGAAATGTCATTAAAACACGATCACTTAATACAGAGTTATCTTCTATATTCATATCTATACATGAAAGTTTGAATTCAAGCTAATTCTTCATGTCACTCAAGTTCATGATTAAATTAAAGGAGCCCCCGCATGTATACATTGCATATGCATGAGCCAGCATAGGATGGTTGCATAAGCCACAGCTCAATGACTCCAGTAACTTGCAGAAGTTACTGGAACTTTCACTCATCACCATTTATGCCATTTTCACTCAGAGAAAGGCTGGATAGAGAGTAGCACTACAGAAGGTGACCTCAAGCCCCATGCTCTGAAGATCCAAGTGGTCTTGGGAAAGAAGTTCTGCTGTCTATGGACAGATGTTCACCAGAGGCACTCATTCAAAATTGGTGGGTAGACAGGTGAATAGATGGAGGTACTCTAAAGAGAGAGAAGTCTGCAGATATTTCCAATGGCTACATGGCTCCAGATATTAGTGAGATAAAAAAATTACAATTTCTATCATTACAAAGATGTCCTAGGGAAAAAAAATATGCCTGTCACCTCAGTTAAATCTTCCCTGAATAAAACTAAGGACAAGTGATCTTAAAAAAAATACTTTTAATAATAATCATATTTTCTCATTCATTTTAATTTTGGGCACTGTCCCTAATTTCCTTTCCTTTGAAAGCACCATTTTCACCATTTTCCTCCACTAATTTCCTCATTCTCTCCCCAAAATGTAAGCAATATGAGTTTTCATAAGATCTTTCTTCTTTAAAAATCCACTATATTGACAAAAATCATCAGCTGGTAGTTCCCGGCGGTTCAAAGATACTAACTTTTAAATGGGGACATTCCTGAAACTCTTCCCAGCCATCTGAAGTAATCTTTAGCTTTGGCTAATTTCTATCCGACATGATTAAGTGTCTAACATCATAATATCAAATTTTTATCCATGGCAGTGCAATAGATTGTCTAAGGTTTAAAAAGATGAAAAACAAAAGAAGTTATAAAACTCTTCTAGAAAAAATATTGTGGATTCACAAATTTGAATTTAGGAATATATTCTCTGAAATTAAGAACATAACAAACTGTCAAAAAAATAAAAGCTCACATATATTTCCAAAAAAAAAAAAAAAAGAAAAGTTCACCTGCTGTTTGCTGTTTTCACACAGCAATCAATGCCTTAGAGAGAAGATGATATCTAATAACTATTTTCTCATATAAAATAAGGTATTTACAAAACCAAAGCAAGGAAGAAATTCTTACCACCTTCTTTAGTGCAGAGGCTGACGAGGTTGTGGACCGTGTCCATCAGCTCCAGCTGCTGCTTCTGCAGAACACTGTTGTTGGTGGTAGCTCTGTTCAGCTGTCTCTCCAGCTCCTGGATTATGTATGTCTGACGAGTAACCAAACCTTGGAGGTTCTCTTTCTCTTCTTTTAAGGTGTCCAACTCCTCCTTATGTTTTCCCTCCATTTCTAAGATTTTATGTTCTAATAAACTACAAGGAAGTGAAAGTTATTTTTTAAAATACTGTACAAAAATAAACAGTAATTTAACTAGTTCCTGAATTTAAGATTAGAAAATTAAATTAAGTATTTCACCATGAAACTTTTTTTTTTAAAGAGGCTCAAGAGTCTATAGAGTTTAAAATAGGAATTGTACATATAACATGTCAAATAAAGAATTATTAAGAATGCCAGATATTGTCAAAGTAATATTTGCTTCCTAAGTCTAATTAATTTCCTGGGGTAGATCTTGTATAACTAGGGTTGCTGGTTTAGACTCAGACAATTATAGCCTAGATAAGTTGCAACATAGCTTTCATTAAGGTAATGGTCTAATAGAAACAGGTAAGATGGTTTAGAAAAAATATGAACAAAACATAGGATGTACTTTTTCATTTACTTTTCTTTATTCATTTGGGATTTTGAAACTTTCACATTGATTGAAATTAAATATGATTTAAACTGATTAAATTTCACAGTAGTTTTTGTCGGGTGAGGAAAGAGTATATTTGATGTAGAGTCTATAGGACCAGAAAGTTAGCTATCTGAGGTCAGAAATCCTTGGTGTTTTTGATACCAGATCATGTTAACTACTAATTTCCTTTATTTCCAATCTGAGCTTTCGGGTGAGGCTTAATGACATCACTCTGTAAATCAGGAGAGGAAGATTTCTTTAGGCCCCTCAGCGTCTTACAAAAGGACTTGGGATGCTTTGTTCAATGTGATGTGATCTTAAACTGAGAACCTTCCTCCTCTCAGAGCTCTTTTAATGATCCTCTCCTAGTATATTGCACATGAAAGTGACAGAGAATGTAGAAGCCCTCTTGGATCCTGGAAACTGACTTGAGATAAAAAGCATTTAAGCATTTACTTTTTATAGAGTATTCAATATACTTTATTCCTCGGGAGAAAGGCTTATTTGATTTTCTCAGTTCTGTTTTCAGAGGGTTCAACCAGTCCTTGGTTTACAAGGTGTTATTCAAATGCAGCATACCGAAATGGGCACTTAATACTCTGAGCAATAGTCATTTCCTTAAGTTTCATAAAGAAGACACTAGGGAGTATTTTAAGTTTAATACTTAAATGGTACAATGGAGTGTGTTTGAAGAGTCAAACTTTCCAACTCTGTACTAGGGGGCAAGCTGGAATATCTGGTTATCTTTTATATACATGGAGAAATCATGGCAAGATGTGCTCTTGGATATTAAGATCTTTGCTAAAAAAACAAACAAACAACAAAACAACAACAACAACAACAACAAAACTCTTTAGAGAAGAACGTGCCAGAAAAAGTTGCTTGTGAAGCTGAGCCGAAGATCCTACCTTACACGACTTTCCATATAGTGTGTCTAGTTCACACTTGCAGCATTCACATGGAGACCTATCAGGGGTTGCTCTTGGTGTTTTATGCAAGGTCAGAAAAGGCAAGCTTCTCTTCTGAGTTGCCTCCATTCTACTGGACACCAGCAAAGAAAGGAGCCCTGCCCTTTGCTGACCTTACAGCAAACCCAAATTGGACAGATCTTGGCTGTAGTTGATTGAGGAAAATGTGATGGTCACTTTTATTTTAGAAAACCTTTTTTGGAAATGAAAAACCTCAGCAAGGACATCAGAGGAAGATGAAAAACAGGATCTCTAAGGGGTAGTTATGACTCATCCTTTAGTAGTTCCTTCTGTGCCAGTAACTCAGTGCTGTTAGAGATATTTGTAGTAAAAAGAAAGAAGAAACAACTTCTCTATTATCTCCATTGGTTAACAATGTCGCCCGACCTACTGCTAAAGTGTTGAGTGCGCTTGGATGGCACAGGAGGTTTTCTCTGTTGTCTGGTGAATTTGGGCTTTCCCCTCTGAGAATTAACCACAACTGATGCCTCAGCTCATTCTCAGTTTGTTTTTTAATTACCTTTGTTTCCATTACTGGAGTAATAATCAGATGCAAGATTATCATATCTAGTGTCACTAACTTATTTTAAAAAATTGTCTTTTAAATTCACAGGAGTTAAAGTATCTTATCAGAAAACCTGGGCATTCATTAAAATGATGATCATGTATAGCTCCAAATTTGAAAGTCTTATAAAGTCTTATAAAACTGGATAAAAGTTTTGAATTAACATTGTTATCTGAAATATGATGATCCCTGGCTTCCAGTTTTCCTAATCAGTAGGTAATATATCCTCTTTTATATACATCTTATATTTATTAGTTGCTGTATCAATAGTTATATAAAATATAAAATGATGCTATTCCTGGTCTAAGTATTTTTGGCGAGGAAACCTCAAATTTAAAAAAAAAAAAGAAAGAAACACAAACTATAAGAAGCTTCTTGTTCAGACATAATATATTTTCTCATATTTTTGCATTATTACCTACTTTTGATGTATGCCTTCTGTAAGAAGGCATGTACTTAGAGACAGCTGCTATCTGAGATGCCAATGAAGGAGGTAGGTTTTTTTGCTTGTTTTGTTTTATTTTTTAAACTCCCTGAAGATAATCTCTCCATCTCGTTATTTTGGGAACTTGTCTTTCACAATATTTGAACCTTCCCATCCTTCCCATGTATAAAATCAAAATTGTTTTTCATTTTTTATTTTTTGTTTTATTTTTTAACTTTAATTTGGAAAGACCTGAAAATTAAAAGCTGGTCAAAGAAGTCCTGTTATCAAAGGAAGCAGTTCTGGAAACTGACTTGTGGAAGAAAAGACTTGCATTAGCACAATGGAAAGTACACTAATTTTCATAATTTACTAAAGAAACGTCAATGTACCATGACTATCAGGTATCAAAGGACATCCACAAAGCCTGATACCTTAGAAGAGATATTCATGTAAGGTGAAGAAGGGATTGTCACAGAAAAAAGAAGCTGCTCTGTAGCATGGATATCTCACAGGATTTGGAAATCCAGGTTACATGATGACAACCACAAGCACATTGGACACATGTCACATGACTGGCACATTGTTTCCCAAATGGCAGGTCCTACCAGGTAATTTTCTCTTCTAATAATTTTCCCATATTCTTTCTTCATTTGAAACTTTTTAACGACCCTTAATGGTCATTCTCTGACTTATTCATTAATCTTTTATGTTAATAATAATTTTCTAGACTTCTTCAGGGAGACTCCTGGCTTCTTGACCCTTCCATTTCCTTTGAGGACTTTCATCCCACTATTTCATCTTCTTTTCATGCCTGGCTTCCAAGACACTCTTCTCTCCTCTTTGATTCTTCTCATCCATTGGTTATTATCTACTTTGGAAGTCAGCCCTTCCTCCTCACCACTTCCAAAACAGTTTGAATCCAAAATTTACTTGCCAGAAAATTTTAACTATCTCTAGTTATCATCACATGTTTGTAATATACCATTATAGCTGTGTAGCATTAAAAAAAATCTTATGTACTTTGATTCTTAAAGCAATAGTGATACAGACTAAGTAAATCTTGCAAGCCCTAGTATATAGGTAATAATCTAAATATCCCCCAATCATGCAGATATTAAGTGTCAGAATCAGGGTAAAACACATGTCTTCTAACTTGTCAGACTAGAAATCTGCCCGTGACATATCCCACTGCTTTGAAAATAAGCACTAAGCACTAACTATAGTCTCCCCCTCTCCCCCCTCTCTCTCTCTCTCTCTCTCTCTCTCTCTCTCTCTCTCTCTCTCTCGTATTGAGGATCAAACCCAGAGGGGCCCTACATCCCCACCCCTTTTTCTTTATTTTTTTTAATTTTGAAACAAGATCTTGCTAAGTCACCCAGTCTGGCTTTGAATTTGTTATCCCTCCTGTCTCAGACTCCTGAAGTCTCGGAGATTGCAGGCATGTGCCACCATCTCATCTCTTTCAAATAAAATAATGTAATATGTTCAATGTAATTATGTTCTAACAGAAATCAAGACATCACCTTGACATTGCCTTCACGTTTGCTTCTCTCCATCCAGTTATTTTGGGAATTTGTCTTTCACAATATTTGAACCTCCTCCATCTTTCCCATGTATAAAATAAAAATTTCTTTGTTAAAATAGTTTCAATAATCTGAACTTAGATTTTCATCAGTACTGCTCTACTTTAACACCTCTAACATTAAATTTATTTTTTTTTTATTCAAAGTACTGATCATGATTCATTTTGACCCTGAAAGTTTTTGTTGATTCTTTATCATTTCTCCTAATGGTAAGTTGGGAGATGCTATGTCAGCTAGGCACACAGACCTCTAGATATAGAGTTGATCTTTAAGACTACATCCCAGCTCCATGGTCCTAAAATTAGGTAGACAAAGTAGTCACTTTGGTTGATGACTGCCTTCAATAACAATATAAGCTTAGGTTTAAATGCATAACACAAAACTGGGTACTTGCTCCAAACTCTAATGGATCATTTTCTGGAGTGCATTCAGTATATCTTCATTAAGCAAAACAAGAATTCCATTGTCAAGATTTTGAGGAGCCTACATTAAATAAAGATTTTATTAAGATGCATCTTTTAGGATTAGTGTTCTACAGAACAACAATATATGAAGTAGCGTGCACTAAATCTATACAAATTGAGCTAGAAATACAAAAAGAGAGTTTCTCACAGGATTTTCAGTACTTCCTGTTTCCCATCTTTCTGGAAATACTTTGAGAAGAGACATGCATAGGATTTTGGCACTTGACTTCTAGCTTGAGACAGAGGTGCACTTTAATGAAGAATAAAATAAACAAAATAATCTAGACGTTGAACTTCAGTAAAAGGTTCTAAATGAATGTACACAAAGCCCCATTTGACGTTTTTGGTTGATGTCCCCTCCCCCATTCTGTACCGTCTGTTTTCTACAACATATCTTATTGGAAATACTTTAAATCATTGAACACATCTTGAAACTTTCACAGAAAAATCACTCCCTTTCAAACTGTTTCCCACAATAGAGCTCTTAACATAGCAGCCAATGAATTCATGGGGTGAGTGTGTAAATATAGCCCCTCCAACAAGAAGGAAGATATTAAAATATAGAAACCTG